GCGCTGGGTGGGTGTCCCCCCGTCCAGAGGGTTCCCCCTGGGGAATACAGAACCCATCCTGCTTGGCCAGGTTGTTACACTGGCTCCAACTGGCTCCTTGTAGGGTCGCTGATGCCTTTGAGTTGGGATGATACCAAGTCTGCCTTTCTCTAGAATAGTACCAGAGTATTGTAAGAACAAGGATTTGAGTAGCCTAAAACTGCACCTTCTTTGGGGTTATATGCTGCTAGTAAGCACATTATTTTACTATTAAGTGATTTTAAACAGGTGTGATACCACACTACCGCCCCTGCCATGGCTGTGCTTTTGCAGGACCTTGTCCTGCCCGAATTCTTGGAACAGGGACAGCAACAGGGACAGGCTGTCTCCGAGCTCTGAGCCTCACTGGGAAAGACTCGATGCTCCAGCAGAGATGAACACAGAGAAGCTGCTGAACAACTCGTGATTGTTGTTTTTTTCCTCCCCAGTGACTACCACAAAAAGCAAAATGCTCTCAGGGCGCTGCAGAAGAAAGCTCTGGACAAGAACCCCGATGAGTTCTACTTCAAAATGATACGTTCAGAGGTCAAGGTGAGAACCTCCCCTGCCTTCAAGCAGGATTACACTTTGTTGCTCCAAGTAACATTTTTCCCCCTACCTTGTTTTGATTTAAATTTATGACTTAATAGGTAAATGAGAAAAATTAGTTTTGTTCCTGTAGAAGGCTTTGAAGAAAATGAAGGACAGAGGACAAAAGTTGTGCTGTTAGCAGGCCCCACAGTGCTCTCCAGGTGGGATGAGCTGTCTGTAAGTGCTGTGTTTGTCTGCTTGTAGGATGGAGTCCATGTAATAAAGCAGCCAAAGGATGAAATTACCCCGGAGCAGATGAAACTGATGAGGACACAGGATATTAAATACATAGAAATGAAAAGAGTTGCAGAAGCCAAGGTAATAACTCGCATTTTTAGTGTTTTCTAGTTTGCTCACAATTGGTTTTTACTGTGTTGTTCTTATTGGTGCTGTGTTGAAAAAGACCTTTGAGATCATCAAGTTCAACCTATGACCTAACACCACCTTGAAAACCAAACCATGGCACTGAGCATCACATCCAGTATTTTTTAAACACCTCCAGGGTGGTGACTCCCCCACCTCCCTGGGTAGCTCATTCCAGTGCCTAGAGATTTTTTCCCTAGTGTCCAGCCTAAACCTCCTCTGGCACAGCTTAAGCTCCTCTGGATCTGTCAGTGGTTGCCTGGGAGAGCAGACCAACCCTCACCTGGCTACAGCCACCTTTCAGGGAGTTGTAGAGTGATCAGGTCTCCCCTGAGCCTCCTTTTCTTCAGGCTAAAAATTCATCATAGAATGAAGAATGAATTCTTCATCCTATGAAGAATGGCAGCTCCCACAGCCATTCTCTGTAGGATTTATGTTCCAGACCCTTCACCAGCCTTGCTGCTCTTCTCTGCACACATTTGAGCCTCTCAATGCCCTTCCTAAACTGAGGGGCCCAGAACTAGACAGAGCACTTGGGATGCAGCCTCACCAGTGCTGATACAGGGGAAAACACTTCTTTTACTTGAGAGAACTGTGAGAGAACTAACTCAGACTATGAGAAAGTTTCTGAGCTGAGGAGAATAATCTGGAGTGGGTTTTTGGAATATGGTAGCCTGACAATCCACAAAAATACAATTCTCTTCTGAAGATGTTGCATGCTTTGATGTTGATTCACACAACAGCATCAAATTCTCAGTAGGGATAAAAAAATCAAAGCCAGCTTTAAATTTTCCTTCATGCTTTTGCTGGTGGTTCCATGGCAATCATTCCCCTTTGCCAAACAGAGGGCTCAGTTTTGCAGGTGGATGTGTGCCTGGGAAACTGCAGGAATCACCGTGACCCTCTGTCTGGAAAGGTTGTGAAGACATAAATATACACTAGATGTGTTTTCAGAGATGAAAAAGAAAGGAGCAGTTCAGCTATTTGTAACCCCGAAGAACAGACAGAAATGTCCTCTTGAGGGGAGAGGCTTGATTTCACTCATTCCGAATTTGGCCAAACTTGCACTTTCCGCAGAAAATCGAGCGCCTGAAGGCAGAGCTCCACCTGCTGGACGCCGCGGGGAGCGCCGCGGGCCAGCACCTCTTCTTCGTGGACACGGAGCGGGAAGGTGAGCCCTGAACTTGTTCTGTCACCTGTTCATAAAAGAAATACACTTTTATCTGTTAGCAATAAAAATGCAGCTGCTCTAGAAACCCCTCTTGGTTACTAGCTGAGGCATCACTTCTGCAGGAGCTGTGTGGCTGGCTGTAGCAATGTGTTTGGAAGATTTGCTTATTGAAGCAGTCCATGGGAGTTTATTCCTGTTTTTTTTTCATGAATAGTTCGGGAGTTTGACCTTGCTGCTCACCTGGACACTGTTCCTGAGCTGGTGGATAGAGTGTACAACAGACCAACCATTGCAACTCTGCAGAGAGAGGCAGTGAAGGGACCTACTGATCCTGCCCACCTAAAGGTACTGCTGCTTGTGCTACACACTTCTTCATGTTCTACATCTTTTATATGACAAGCACTAAAAAGGATTGATTGCACCACTGTGGAGGTGAACAAAAGCGTGTTCTTCAAACTTTTATTGGTGACACAAGGCAGTAGTGGATGTCACTGAATCACAAGTGAGTGCCAGGAGCCTGCAGTCACATCTCCTGGACTAACACAGATTACTCTTTCACTGCATCTTAGTTCACCATGGGAGACCACCATAAGTTGTGATATACAGGCCAGAAACGAGTGATGTCCCTGCAAAACTGAGATATTTCTCCTCTGTAAAGGAACATATACCTCTGTGACTATCTTGGACTGTCTTTTCATCAGACTGCTGCAGTTTCAGTTGTAATTTTTTCAGCAGCCACTGTTGTCACCCCTCACACTTCCCCAAAACCCCTTGCACCCCTGAATTAGGTAAATAAGAATAATTAGGTAAATGGGAAGAAGCTTACTCCAACACAGATGTCTCTGTCACAGTGTTCCTGATCTTACAGCATTTTTCAATTTGGTTCTGAGCCCAAAGTCACTTGAGAGTTGTCTCCTCACTTTCCTTCCTAAAGCCATTTAAGCAATAGTCTCACTTCCTGGCTTTCCTAATTGGAACTGTTTCATGATTCTTCAGCATGAATTGCTTTAGCAATCAGCTTTGATTCTGATGTTTTAGTGTCACAGAAGTAGCTATACTTGGCTTTACAGCTGCAGATTCTGCTCAGGTAATTCAGATCTGTTGGAAAGTCCTCTGAGTACCAGTCAGTTGTGTCTAAGATAAAAATAGTTGTTTTAAAACTGCCGACTGGTAAATTTTTAACCTGTTTTTTCTGACTCAGATGTCAGATAATAAACACCCTGTGGTCCCTTTCCTCCTGCCAGCTGTCTCAGTTTGACTTGTCAGTAAAGCAGTTGGACGAGTCGTGGGCTGACTAGTTTTCTCCTAAATGTCTGAGTCATATTTTAAGCATGTTGGGATCTGTTCTCCTTAATTTAATTACTTAAATCACACCTGCAGTAATACTGTTCCTGTGCTGGGAAAACTATCCACTCTCATTAGGCAAACTTGACCCAACAAGTTGCATTTTGAGAGGCCTCTGCAGGCTCTGAGCACTTCAGGAATTGGTCTCTGGTCTCTCATTTTGTTTTTTTGTTTTCCCTCTTCTAGATTTCCATTAGGGAGTCAAATGTTTTCTTGCATTTGACATTGAAATTCACAGGATTTAGACCACAGTGTCTTGTTCATCTCTGTATTAAAAAAAGCTTTTTTTCTTTGTTTCCAGAAATTAGCCCAGCAGAGGAAGAACCAGTATGACCTCCTGAGGCAGCGCATCGAGAGGGAGAAGGCCATGTTTGTCATCTCCCAGAAAATCCAGACACGCAAGGATCTTCTGGTGAGGGATTTGCTTCTGCTTCTCCAGATCTGTTCTGTTCAGCTCATTAGGTCTGGTATTGTGTGTGTTGTGTTTGTTTCTTCATTCTGGTTTTGTAATGACACCTGCAGATAACTCCTAAAGATAAGTAATCCTCTTTAATATGGAAAAAGCAATGAGATGAAGCATTTCAGTAAATTATATCTGCTTGTCAGCAAGGACAAAGACTCAGCTGTAAAATGGTGCTCACAAGGAGCCCAGAGTAGTGCCACTAGGAGTCAGAAGCAGGGAACCATTTCTGTAAGTTATGAGAAGGTCTTAAAAATCCAAATGACCACAGAAATTACTTGTCTCAATGGGACTCCTGTTCTCTGGTGCTTGTGAGCAAAGCAGATTGTCCCTGACAGCCTGAAGGGGAAAAGAGCAGATAAAATTATAATTTAGTGACCATTTTTCTTTTATGGTTAGTCCCAGACAAGGACTCTGATTTGTGTGGGTGGGGGTTTTTCTCCATGCATGGCAGCAAATATTTCTACTTGTTCTTTTTTTTTTCCAGGACAAAACTCATAAAGTAAAGGTGAAGAAAGAAACAACGACTGGACCAGCTATTTATAAATTCAAGTTTCAGAGGAAACGTTAGCCATTTCATGGGATAATTGTTACAGTCTCTGCTCAGGAAGGAGGAGCCATCTCCCTTGGAGAAGGGCTGGTGCAGCCTCCTTTTGACTGCAGCTCAGCACTTTGTTGAAACAAATCACTGTGGGACAGTGGTAGCCATCTGTGTGTTTGTTCTGATTAATTGATTAATAAATCAGAGTTTGTTCTTTTGATATTTATTTGGTGTGAAGCCTTGGGATTTGCCTCAGTGTCCTGGTGAGATGCAGCATAAACAATCAGTGAGCAGTTGAGGTCACAGTGGAACTTTGGGGTGGGTTAAGGGACAAGGACTTGGGGACTGTTGTCTCTGGGGCTGAGCAGGACCTGGCCAAGCCCATGAGAGTGGAGCTCAGCTTTTTCAGGTGCCTTTTCAAGCAGCTTAAAGGTGAATTACTCTAGTTATTTCCCCCAATGCCTCTCATTTCCTATTTGCACCATTCCCCTGTGTGCTTTTCCTCCAGAGCTGCTTCAGTTCAAACTGAAGCAGTGCCAAAATTCTGTGTAAGGGGAGAAACACAGCACCAAGTGTGGGACAGGAGTTTGTCCTCTGGCTTTTCCTTGGGCCCTTGCACTGCCAGGGCTGGGGGATGTGCAGGCACATCCTGAGTGTCCTGAGCAGCCCAGGCACGTTCAGAGGAGCCTCCGTGTGAACATTCCTTTGCTTATCTCTCCATCTCCTGTCCCTGCCAGCAATAAGCACATGGTCTGCAAGGGGGGGAGAAAAAAAAGATGCTCTTCTCAGGCCCTACCTACTTTGGAGCTTTTCCAGCAGCTTGGTGATGAAACATGATGTTTTTACCTGCTGAAATGCAGCTTCAGACGCTGTTCCTGCCAGAACAGGAGACTTTTTCAGGGGAGCATCCACGGAGTTCTGCAGAGCTTGGAGTCTGTGATTCTGTGAGGGCTGGGTGAGCAGGAGGAGAAAACAAAGCCTGAAGTGTGAGAATGGTTTGGTTCACTCAGGAAAACAAAGTCCTGTGTGTGAGAATGGTTCGGTTTGGGTTGGTCTGAAGTGCTCAAGCAAAAAGGAAACAAAGTCAGTGTGTAAGAATGGTTTGATTTGGTTCAGTTTGGTTTGCTTGAGTGAAAGGAAAACAAAGCCAGCATGTGAGAATGGTTTGATTTGGTTCAGTTTGGTTCTCTTGAGCAAAAAGAAAACGAAGTCCTGTGTGTGAGAATGGGTTTGGTTTGGTTTGGTTTGGTTTGCTAGGAACAAAACAGGAAAGCAAAGCCAGCATGTGAGAATGGTTTGGTTCAGTTTGGTTCTCTTGAGCAAAAGGAATACAAAACCTTGTGTGAACAAAACCTTGTGTGTGAGAATGGTTCAGTTTGGTTCACTTTGGTTCACTTGAGTGAAAAGAAAATGAAGTCCTGTGTGTGAGAATGGCTTGGTTTGCTAGGAACCAAACAGGAAAGCAAAGCCAGCATGTGAGAATGGTTTCATTTGGTTCAGTTTGGTTTGCTTGAGCAAAAGGAAAACAAAGTCCTGTGTGTGAGAATGTTTTCCTGTTCAGTTCCTAGCAAACTGAACCGAACCAAAGTCCTGTGTGTGAGAATGGTTTGGTTTGTTTGGTTCACTTGAGTGAAAGGAAAACTAAGTCCTGCATGTGAGAATGGTTCAGTTTGCTAGAAACTGAAGAGGAAAACAAAATCCTGCATGTGAGAATGGTTTGGTTTGGTTTGGTTTGGTTTGGTTTGGTTTGGTTTGGTTTGGTTTGGTTTGGTTTGCTTGAGTGAAAGGAAAACAAAACCCTGTGTGTAAGAACGGTCTGGTCTGGTGTGCTCAAGTGAAAGGAAAGCAAAGTCCCGCGTGTGAGGACGGTTCGGTTCTCTTGAGCAAAAGTAAAACAAAGCCGGTGTGTTAGCACGGCTCGGCTCGGTTCGGTCCGGTCCGGCTCGGTTCCGTCCTCTCGAGCCCCAGCCCCGCCGCCGTCGGGCCGAGCGCGCAGCAGCCGCAGTGCCGGGCGCGGCCCGCAGGGGGCAGCAGCGCCGCGCGGCGGGGCCGGGGCCCGGGGCCCGTCCCGGGCTCGGTTCCGTTCCCGCGGTGTCGCCGCGCACCGGGGCCCGCTGGATGGCAGGGAAAGCTCTTTTAGACTAAGGGTTAAATAAATAAATATTTCATCCTTGCACTTGATTAATTTTACCTGCGTGTAGAGCGTTGCTGCAAAGGATGGGAGAGAAAAGCCGCAGTTCTGCTGGGAGAGCTTCAAGGAATCCTGGAGCAGGATTGAAAAGCAGCGACCTAGTCAGGTCCAGAAACTGCCTGTCCACCTCTGCCCCACTGCAGAGCCAGTGCCCTATTCCCTGGAAGAAAGGCCTCTATTCCCGGTTTTTATGGGATGCACCAGGCAGCTGGGAGGCTTTCTCTGAGCAGGCACTGGCCACGCTGCTTGTCCTGGGCGTGGTGGTGTCCCCTGGCACCTGGGAGCTGAGCTGCCAGCCAGGACACACAGTCTGTGATCACAGTCTGGCTCTGGGTAGCAAGAGTTGTGCCTGTTGTGATTTACCTTTCCCTGGGAAGCCGTGAATATTAACAACGGGAAACCAGAGCACTGGTACATTTGTGGTGCTCACATTGAGCAGGCTTCGTGCTGGGCCACAAACCCCATAAACTGTGGAGTGGTTTATCTCCTTGTGGCAAGAACAGACTAAAGGAGGTGCCAGCTCTTGTGCACAAACATTTTTCACCTCCTCCTGCCTGCAATGGTGAAGGATTTGGCAGGTGCTGATCTCTGAACTTCTATGTTAGCAGACAGGGCTGAGTCACACCTGCTCCTGCAGAATTCCCAGTGGCATCCAGGAAAAAATCCACACCTTCCAAAGACTTTGCTCTTTGACTCCCAAGGCTTTTAGCTTGGTATCCTCACACTAAAGCACTGAAATGTTTCTGCAAGGATCTGGAAAGAGCCAGTGCCTTATAACTGAATCCAAAACCCACAGCACAGGATTTAAACTGAGACAGGAGTGGGATCTGCCATCCTCTAGCTGGGCCCTCACGGGGAAGGACAGAGAGAAAATGCCCACAGCTATTTTTTGTTTGTGATAATTATAGCATCAAAAGCTGAACCAACAGGTTCTTTAGCAAGGAGATTCCCTGCAGCTTGAAAGATACAGATATCAAAATTCCCCAGATTCACAGCTCAGGTTTTAGGTGACTCAATAATATTGTGCCATATAACAATTTGTGTAATTCCTTTTTCAACTCGTGAAGAACTCAATTGATAATGACTGTCTATAAAAGTTAATAGCAGGCTACACTTGCAGGATAATCTCCAGGCAGCTGCAACAATATATTTTACTGGCAGGAGAACCATCAGCAGCCCTTGGGCTTCTCTGCTGAAGGCTCCATTTTCTGAGCCTGAACCAGAGTGGAGAGCACAGTGGGGCAGGGGAACAGGAGCTGGTTTGGCTGGGGAGGCTCTGGATCCTCCAGGACAGGCACTGGGGTGGGGTGTCTATCAGTGGGGTGGGGTGTCCATTAATGGGGTGGGTCTCCATCACTGGGGTGTCCATCAATGGGGTGAGTGTCCACCAGTGAGGTGGGGTGTCCATCAGTAGGGTGTCCATCAGTGTCCCTGTGCTGTGGCAGCCAGAGGGACCCCCAGCACCTCAGGAGCCCCCCAGGTTGTGCTCTTTGAACACAGGAGAGCTTGGTGCCCCCCGTGCCCCTGCTCACAGCGCTGCCCTGGGTGTCACCACCTGCTCTCCCCACACCTCTGGGTGATGCCACTGCTCACCCCCAGTTGCTGCCAGCCCAAGGCGCTGTGTGGGGCTGGTGCAGGTGTCTCCAGCTGCAGGACTGGCTGCCCTGGCCCTGCTGCTCCCCAGCATCCTGCAGCCAGGTTCAGCTGAGGTGCCTTGCCCAAGGGCACCAAGGAGAAAAGGGTGGTGAAGTTCCTCCGCTCAAGCCTGAGCAGCTTCACAGCAGGGAGTTGAAAGAGCAGAATGTAAATCAGGAATGACTAATTGCTGCTCAGCATGGCTGCCCTGAACCTCTCTGCTCCACAGCTCCTTGGCCACTTGGACCTTTCCCCTCCTGATTAACAGAGGGGTGCTGATGTCTGGGGAGAGCCTGGGCATTGGGTACAGCCACACCTGGACACAGCCACCCATTTCCCTCCTAACAAACCATTCCTCTCCAAATTCCACCACAGAAGCTTTCAAATGAATAAATATCTGCTGCTGCTGCTGCTTCTGTTGGGAGCTGCCAGGCATCCATAGTGAAGCCAGGGCTGGGTGAGGTGAAAGCAGCAAATATTTGCTTTGCTGTCTCACAGTCGTGGACCTGCAGCCGTTAGTGCCTGGAGAGAGCCCAGGTGAGCAGAGTTGCTCCAAGCAGGCAAGAGCCCATGATTTAGTGAGAACTATTCCCAGGATGTCCCTGCCTTGGCAGAGCTGGAGCCTGCAATAGTGAATTAGTGCATGCAGATCATCATTTACTGAAACACAAGCCCCGGTGCACCTTTCTAGGGAAGCACTAATTTATTATGCATTGTTATTAGCTGCAGCAGGGCCTTCATTAGAGCTGGAGTTAAGGTCTGTTTTGGCTGCCTCATCAGCATCAGTGAACTGCGTCCCTGCGAGGTTTGATACAATTTAATTAACCTAATTAAAAGCTCTGATTGCAGAGATGATTGGGGTAGAGCCAGCAGCAACTGCATATTTATAACGAGCTAGAAGGTGTGGGACTGGAGCCAAATGATATGCATCTCTAATGAGCTGGTGCTATTGAAGTGTGGATTTGGAACACTAACATTTATTTTTGGCAACAATGGCCAGTTTATCTTCGCGATAGAAACGATCAGGGCTTGATTGGGTGTAGCAGGCAGCTCAGCACTCTGCTGCTCCCCGGCCTTCTCCACACCACTGGCAGGCACACAGGGGCACCCAGAGCTCTCCCGCAGCCCTTCCCCTGCAGGCACAGCAGTTCCACACCCAGCCCTGCAGGGACAGCGTGCCCCAGCCCCACTGAGCAGCCCAGTGAGCCCTGGTAATGCCAGCAAATTCCCCTTCCCCAGCCACCACTCCCTCCAGCTCCACCTTCACTCTCTCCCAGATCTGCTCTGTCAGAACCCAGGAAATTCCTCTGAATGCCCTGGAGCGCTCCAGCTCCTGCCCAGGGGGCTCAGAGACCTTGGCACAGAGCCCCAGACCCCTGTGTGCCTTTGATTTAGC